TTAATCTGTAACGTAATGATACCGCAAATCAGAAAACAGAGATTTATCAACCGGACCAATGGTTCATAAAACCCATACGAGCAGTCTACAGTTCTTATCGGTCCTGCTTCCTGCCTAGCCCTATCTTTTAAATCCAGAACACCAATCTCAACCTCCACTATATGAATCATGTATTTCAAAAATACTGGGTTTATATACAAACCAAACAGACCACATCGTACCATAAAATAGAAAATAACATATGTACAAGATTTAGCCAAAAGTGGCTGTGAATGTAGGAGATGGTAACTGATAGACTGAGCATAACTCAAGAATGGTAAATCGTATAACAATAGTTTATAAGTCAAAATAAAGCTTATGATAAGAGGAACATGAATATGAGTAGTTTAGTTACCTAAAAATTATACAATAAAAATATACTTATAGTATTAGTCCAGAAATAGATCCCAATAGTTACCATTCATTACTCTCATCGGGATATAACAGATTAAAGTAGCAAAGTTTTGAAAATTATTATTTATCCCTAAGAAACAATGTTTAAGACAATTAACATTCTTTGATATATATTAGAATATAAATAGCGAAAATAAGAGCTTTCGTCTAAATTTGAACGAATAGTTTCACAATATTTTCTTGAGACTATATATATATTCGGTAATTTTGTTGTTTGATTATATTTTCCTTGAAAAGGCTTGGACCAGATTGCCAGGCGAAACGTTGGATTTACTTCAAATTCTTTTGCTGAAAGTTTACAAATACATTCTTCCTCTTTAATAAATAATGAAATTTTATGAAACTAATTGTTTCCAACGTTTTCTTCTCCTATAACAATAAGGTTAAAAATTAAAATGGATAATTTTTATAAGAAGCAAAGTAGTATGCACACTGAAGATATTAATTATAATCGGTTTGTCTGCAATCTACTACATCTAAATTTGATGTGTTTTGATTGTTGATAAAAAGTATACAAGAATCTGAGGTCCTATATATAAAAGGGGAATATTATGCGAATCTGTTTATTCAAAATTAATGTAAAAAAATATTGTTGAAAATTGGTTTATGATCAGTAAAATAAAGCAATAATGTGAATAGAATTTTTTGGTATTAAGAATAATCCATAGAAAACTGAATGTAATTGTAAAGTGTGACAAGAAGGTCCGTAAAAAATAAAACATTTAAAAAAGAAAAGAGATTTTGATAAGGAATCATAATCATACTTTTAAATATTCTAGTAGGTTAAGCCTACTGTTGGTAACTTGAGTTAGTAAACTCGTCTTTGATACTTAAATCATATTTCTGTGGATTGATTTCTAGAACTTTTGACATTATAACTGTGTACTCTATCTTAATTTTCCTATAAAGAGATGTAACCGAAAGTATTAAATGCCTAGTCATTTTCAGCTAATATTTGGATTGTGACTAGCTGAAGAATTCAAGATTAGCGCTTAATCCTAGTTAAGATTCGTCATTTGGATGTGCCTGCATCTCAGTATTTATCTTGGCACTGAGAGTCGAACTTACTATCAATTTCTTTAAGCGCCAAGAAGTTATTCGTAAAATCATTAGTTTCAGAGAAACACTTACTTGTTCGAGAGTGACCATATGTTATACTAAATACTAACAACAGGGAAATACAAACCCTTATTTGTAGTTTAACTAACATGTTTGATTCTTTTTAGCAGATTAATAATAGGAGAGACACAAATCAAGCACTGGTAAACAACCGTAATCTATTTTAGCGACAATTCCACTTGTTGAATTACCTTTTGCAGTTTAAACGAGATATTATAACTAATTTTTGAAACAAGTTGCCTATTTACTGAAAAATAGTTATAACAAATTTTAAAAATAAGACTATTAATGGACGACATAAAGTTATCGCTGAAAAACTATGATATACGTTGTTAGGAAATTAATAGATTGTGTTTCATTCTGCAGGTGGAAATAAAACATCTAACGAATCTGTAGTTATAAAAAGGGGATTACGAATGAAATTTGAGCATGAAAAGGGCGTAACACTTTGTAGGTAAAACGAATTTTTGAAAATAACAGGTGAAGCATTATAATGAAATCAAAAACATTCATGAAAAAAATATCAAAACCACTTTTCAGACAAAAATATGAAGCTGAGATCTAATGACTACTAATAACGAATCAGGCAAACTTGAAAATATCCTGATGTAGAAAGTTTCCTGAGGTAAACAGGAACTAGCGTCTCCTTAATCACTAATTCTTCCGTCTGTATCTTCCAAGTTTATACTGCCAACACCCACTTGAAGTGAAGAATGTTAAAAATGACATAAGACACACCCCAGTCGACTTTGGATAAAAAGAATGTTGGTCATGTTTTTCAGTATGTTAAATAAAAAATATGAGTTCCTAATCAGTTGTTAAACTTCAAACACTTACAAAGTCATTCTTCAGTATCAAATGTCATGAATATTCATGATGTAACAAATTTATTTCCGACAATTCTGAATAAAACTTTCATTTAAATATACTTTGCAGTTAAAATATTGAAGGTTTCGATAATTGAAGGACTATATAGGGCATTACATAATTAATTCTCTTTCAGCTTTAAAAACAATATCTGGTTCTAATAACGATAATAAAAAAAATCAGAACAAGTTCAAAATGTTTTATATCATGTTATTCAACCCTGAATTCAATCCATCTATCCGACAGAACATATTTCATCTTCTATTATGGTTTATTCAAACACGTTTTATAATCCATGATACAAGTGAACATTTAATGAATAATGAAATTGATATTTTAGCTAAAACATTAATTCACAATGAATATAATTCATTAAATGCAAAAATAATAGATTTTAATGAATTATTTAATATACAAAATGATATGATAGAATATATTTTAAATTATGAAAATGAATGTGTTGCTATGGCGAAAAATTATTCTAATTTATTACGTAAAATATTTATACCAAACTATTCTCCTTGAGAAAGTTTGGGCCAGATTGCCTGGCGAAACGTTGGATTTACTTCAAATTCTTTCACTGAGATTTTACAAATACATTTTCCTCCTCTTTAATGTCAAACTATAATATGTTTATTAATCATAAAGGGAATCAAATGAAATTACAAAAATGTCTTCAATGTCATCTTTATTATTTGTATAATTTTTTAAGAAAATCTTTAAAATATGAAAATTGTGAAGAGATTCAATGGTAAACTACTTTATAACTTTTATAATTATTCATTTATTGTTTATGATGTATTTTGTAGATAATATTAATATGTTTTAGGTTTTAGTTAATCAAATTGTTAAGACTATTATATATATATAAGCTGGTGTATATTTCACATTGAATTAGTCTTGTACAATACAGTATCATATTATAGTTTTACATTGATTTTATTCATATACAATATAGCATTCAAGCAATATCAAGTGGATTTAAACTTCACCCCATTGCACAATCAAGTGGCTATCAGGACTCAGTAGCTAAGTGGATAACGTGATGGTGATTGAAGTGAAAAGTACTGAGTTCGAGTCTCAAAGTGAACATCAACTCTGAGACGCAGGTACATCCAGCTGACGAGTCCCAAATAGGACGAAACGTGCGTCCTGGATTTCAATGCTAGCCATTATCCATCTTTGTGCATAATGCTTAGGAATTAAGGCTATATCGAGGCAATTCGCATAGTATGCACATATTCCAATAAGAGACTGATCAATTGAAGTCCTAAACATCAATTGAGAGATTCAAGTGAATAACACCAAGTGAATTTAATTTTCAAACAGGTTTCCTCATCGTTTCACAATCAGTCTTTAGAGAAAAAACTGATAATCAAATGAAAACATAAGCTTTTTTGTGTAGTTACTACAAAGATATTTTAGAGTTTCTACGTTTATAAAACAGGTCAGTTTCAACAGGTTATTCCAACTATTTAGTCTCTCGTACTATTAAAATTATCGACTTTTTTCAAAGACCATTATACTTGCTTACCATATATTAACTCAACTTCAGATGAAAATGAAAAAGATTTCTTTATCAATATACAACTAATTAATAAATAATCAATTCTAAAGCTTCTGTTATTGTGTTTGATGATAAAATTTTCAGAGTCTTCTACTTAATTGGCTTTTGTATTCAATTAGTCAATGTTATGAATTCTGAATGATCTGAATGGTTAAATTAATCAATAACTAAACAAGTGAAGTAATAGTTCAATGATGACTGGAAAAGGTTACTGCAGATATATATGTGAATACATTTTAACTAATCGGATATTTTTAGGTTTTATATAATGAATATAGAAACTTTTTTTTCAATAATCTGAATCTATCCACTAGTAAATACTGACTGGTATTCTACTGTTTTGATACTGATTGTTGCTAACATATAATCTCGTGTTTTATTAAAAGCTAATATAAACCCCTTATTTTAAACCTATTACCATACGTCTTATATTGAAGGAAAAAAGAAACTACATATTTTCAATTCAAACCATAAGTATGCAATATACAGAAAACCATGTAAAGTGCAAATTCATCTATAATTTTTTTAAGTCAGTAAATACCAAATGTGTTTTTAGTTAATGATCATCTAAAAGCATTAGATCTAATTGTTCTAAACCAACACTCTAATTTTTCTTCTTTTAGTAGGACAAATAAATTCTCGATTTTTCTCTCCTGATCTCCCAAAAATGATATATAGTTTCATATCATAGTTGAGGATACGCGAATTCTCTTATTGATCACTTTGATAACTGCTTATCTTCTCGTCCTACTTACACCAATCATACAACTACTTCTTAAAGGTCACTGAGTTAGCCTATCTTTCTACCAATCATTGCTTTGATAACTATACATTTTAGAAAGGTCATATTCTACTAGACTCAGGGCTGATTCTCTCTTCCATAGATGTTCTAATTTTTTGACTTAAATTTTTTAGAAGTATATGTAATTGGCAGATGATTGAATTTATTATAAACCAATCATCGTTCATAAGGGATATTTTATTGATTTATTCTGTTAGATTTATACGTCTAGTGATGAATTTTTAGATTTCTGACTCATTCTGTGTATCCATCCCTTTACGTTCACGTGTAATTTAGCGGATAAACTACGCGAATCTATAATCTTCATAGTACGAAAAATACATGCATCTTAATACACACAATAGAACTTGTTAAACTGATTGTATGAATACTGGGATGATTACTTACTTAAAACGACGCTTCTCATCTGGGGACCTGCAAGGTGAATTAGCTGACAAGCGTATGCAAGAGGGACTACCTAGTTTCTTACGATTCGGATCGACCACACAGTCTGGACAATCATATCAACAGTATCAACAGCAAAGCTCTAATATTCAAACTACAGGGCAGGGTTATTCAAACCAACCCCAAGATTTTAGTTCTACGGGTCCTGCAAACTACGATATGAGATACGGATCTACAGCCCCTACCATGGCCGAACAATTCTCTAGTTCTCAGACAGCCACAACTACAGCTAATCACACTCCTGGATCTGTAGGTCGAGGACGTGGTGCCTATCCAAGTGCACCAACATCACCAACGAGAGGTATGGGACTTGGTGCCTCACTAATGGGTCCAATGGGAAGTTTAACTGGTCAGATATCAAATACACTCATGCGTAGTTTCAATACTGCTGCCTCCACTGCTCAGAATATATCCGGAAAAATGTCTTCAAAAGATCACCAGAAAATACTTCTAGTCATAGATGACACGCAAACTGATTGGTGAGTGATAATTTATGAAAACTTTGTGCACCTTTCTTGTCAAGTATTATGTTTAAACTATGATTATCTCTAAGGTAATAATGCACTTTGAAAATATAGTATGGTGAATAAAAATCGTACGAAAATCCATATCAAGAAATATTTGATTAGACAATCAAATCAAAGTTAAACATTTTGCTCACTAATTGGTTGGAAGATGGAAATATCCGTACCCTGAGTCATCAGTGTTCCTACATATCAGCGATGTTTACTAAAGATTTATAAGGTGTTATTAGCAATGAGGTGAAATGGTACAAACTAAGCTGTAAGACATCTTACATAATGGTTCTCAGTATCATCTCACTTAAGAAAATGTAGTGACTCATCAGTGAACTTCAAAAATGTTTAAATAGAATATACTGTCTTGCCTTATTTTTAAATTTCTAAACAGTCCACTACCATAACCCCACTAAAGATCATACTCAGAACTTTCAAGTCTGGAAAAGAGTACAATATCTTTAGAATACTATTTCAATGTTTTAAAAAAGATTTTGATAATATGCATTTTAGAGCTTACAACGAATAATGCAGGTAAAATTTATTCATTACGGTAAAATATTTTGAGTGACGCGTTAACACTATCCCATTTAAGTTAGGAAATTGCCTTACTTCAATTATCTAATACGTGATTACTAGCATTAGTTGTATGTTATCATTCATACATAGGTGTATTTACCTTTCTACATCCTGTGGCCAACTCACATCCATTAAATTAATCTTGACGCCAAATGTGTAGTACGTAATATTCTAAAACGTATTTTACGTAAGAAGTAACTCATTCCAGTAGTACAATTTTTGATAACAGTAACGGATGAAATAGCTGTTTTAACCTTATTTTAATTTATATCTTCCGATAAAATGTTGCTTGTCGCGCTATTAGATTTTTACTACCCATTTTAACATTGCCCCACAACAAAATTTAAACCTGTCCGATAGTTGAATTCACTTGATATTGTTTTACTTGAATCTTCCCATTGATGTTTTTGGACTGAAATTGATCAGTCTCTTATTGGCATATGTGCATACTGTGCGTATGCCTCGATATTGCCTAAATTTACAAGCATTATAAGCAAAGATGGATAGTGGCTGTCCGATAGTTGTTTTTTCAAGAAATCTATTTCACTGTATACTGAATCAAAGTCCTAAACTTACGTTTTTGCATATGGACAACAGTTGAATACTTCTCTTAAAATGTTACGCAATTTTCCAGTCATCCTTTATTAAAGAGATTTGACCATTTAGATACTTAACCACTAGTCAATATATTCAATTTTATTGCATTTCTTATAAGATGATAGATCTGAAAAGGAGAAATAACTTTATATGTGTTATATCTGACTACAATATATAACGCCATTATGAGTCTAGAAACCAAGGCAGTGATGTTGAAACCATACATATAGTATTATTTTAGATGTAACTAAGTGACTTGTTTGGGTAACTGTTAAATATCAACCAAACGGAACTAAAACATTGTACTTATTGAAAGAGATCTCAGCCAAAAAGTAGATGAAGCACACTTTTTACATTCTAGAATTCCTATATTTTGAACTGAATACCTGACATCAAAGTGAAACCACACTTCAGACAAGCTGAAATTTTGCTAAGTTTACAATTATGAACAATTCAATTAGTTGATTTAAAAAACTCAACTAAAAACAGCATTTGCGGGATAAATTCAATATACATTATTTGATCAATAATCAACATCTAAACACTAATTTGTAGGGGTTTTCTGAGTTATCCTGGTGTTGATATTGCCAATTGAATTCTGACATTTAAAGCAAACGATTCTGGGTTCAAATCCCGGAGTGTACATCAACTCTAGAAGGCAAGTATATTCCACTGACGATCCATGAATTCGATGAAATGCACGTCCTGGTACCTACTGTTAATTACAATCCATCTCTTAAATAGACCTACTGCTTTTATTCATCATATATGTGCTGAATACAAATCACCAATATTATCATAACATACTAATTTCAAAATTCGGTTTTCCCACAAAATATTCAAGGCATGAATAGCAGACAATACTGAAATAGGTCAAACCAGATCCTTTTGTATAACCCAAGGGGAAATCCCCCATGATAAAGTAACTGTATTTTAAGACTGAAAGGAAATGAAATTCAACCATTGTGTTTACATAAATGAGTAAACTAGGTCAAAAAACCAAGTAAACAAAAAGAACTGACAGGAAGAGAACAAAATCTCCAAACACAACCAAGCACAAACAGGTACATCAGAACTAGTTAATATGGTGCGTATGTAATAATTTTCTAAAAATATAAAAATAAAGTTGGGTCTGTTAATATTATTCAACCCTACAATTAAAGCTTCATAGTTCAATCATTTGAACTGTAATAAGTAGCATTACTAAAACTATCAGGATTAGCAAAGCATGCCTTCCATCACTTTTATTACAGCAAAGCTAACAAAGTGGACCTCGAATAAAATAAAATAAGTAGCAACAAGGAAGTTGGGAAATGAAACTTGTTCTGGATGAAAACAGAACATGCTTTTATTCAGCGATGTAAAATTTCATTTTTACAAACCCCCACTTGAGATCCTTTTTAAAACTAAGTAGGCCCACTAATTTCAAGGGATTTTCGATCTATTCTTCTCGATTAGTTGTGAAGATGCAATATTTTAGGTAGTATTTGTTATCTGAATATTCTTTTAATAAATACTATCCAAGTTGAAAAATAGGACCATGTCCAAACAGATTTTTCCTAAGTTTCTTCGTTTGTGGTGAATTTAATCCAACTACCATATTGAATGACCATACAGTACAGAATAACTGAATAGTGCTCCAAAACAATTTTACGGCGACTGTCACAAATACTATGATCATTAATAAAATAAAAACGAATCTACTTTATACATTTCATTTTCTAAAGCCTGCATCTTCCTTTAAGCAAAACTGTGGAGAATAGTTATATTTTCAATAAAACATTCACTATTCATCTGTTGGTAACCTTACATAAATCAATTCATCACAAATGGCTTTAAGAACAGAAGGCCGAATGGTAATAAAACTATTAGTATACTAAGGAAGTTTTATTAAATCTTGATCTCTTAAGATAAGTCTCTTAACTTTCATTTATTTTTTTAAAGGTGTAAATATTTCAGAGGCAAGAAGCTGATGGGAGATTGGGAAATAAAAGTAGAACAAGTATGTCGAATTCTAGATCAATTCAGCTTTTATGCTAAGTTAATTATGTCTAAGTGTATCATCTATATGATCACTTTGATAATGTTTCCTAACTCTGATATTAATCTGTGTTAATGTTAATTAATGGCTCATTTTAATGTCGGGGTCGCTATAAATTTATTCATGAACTAAAGGCTACAATTATTTTGCAAAATACTGAAATATTCATCGATTTATAAATCCAGAAGTGAATGAATGAATGAAGATTCACTAGATTAACCTTAGAACTTGTTTACAGTAGGTACTGAAAAGGATGGCTATAGAGTAAACATCCAAATTTATTCTTTGAAGGGGAAAATAATTCTTCATTTATTCAATAAACAATCGAGTTAACATCATTGTAACAAGCAGTTAACCAAGGATGAAAACAAGAACAAAAAATCACTAGAAATTTAATGAAACTGGATTTATGACGGTTGGAATAGTGTAAGAGATGAACAAATTAATTTCTTATTCGACTATCAGGAATTTTAACAAAAGTGAAATTAACCAGCTATCTCCTAGTTACTATCCATCATTGGTCTATGTTTCATACTGAATTCCGTCTTTACTTTTTCGTCATTTACTTAAATAAATACACATAAATATAATTATTAGGAACTGATTAACAGAAGTAGATACCTTCAATTTTTCATTACGCTACATATAGCTCATATTCACTTCGACTATAAATCAATCACTTTAGCTTCATGAAAACTATTCCTTAATATTTCTTTCTGTTAACTTTCTGCTAAGCTTTTAAAATCCACAAGAAATTTACTTAGTATCTTTCTGTGATGTTTTGAATATCAACCATCTATATTCTACACTTCTATCTAATACTGATTAATTGAGATTAGCATGTTAACTAGAAATGATAAAATTAAATGAAGCAAATTTATAAATAGGGTATTTACTAAATCACATGTTGATAATAATTAAATTATTATCTAATGATTATTGTCTATGTGTTGTCGTTCAATTGATGAGTATGCCATAATGTTCACTTATCTAAACTTTTAGATAAATTCACTATAAATATTGTGTGTATTCAGATGATTTCCATACTCGTGTATATAGAATAGAAATGTGCTGTGAACAAAATTTAGTTAATAATCAGTATACAGTACTTAAAGTTCTGCCACCAAACTCAGACGTTGCTATAAAGTATGTTTATAAATCAACTGAATTTATAAATTCATCTTATCTTCTCTAATTATTCAATATATCTATCAAAACTAGGTTCAGATATAAGTTGTTTTCAGGTTAGATAACTGATTCATTGAAACAGAATTATCAACTGTGGACTTTATGTAGTAATGGTTTGATAATTTTACAATATAAGGATAATGCTATCATATGCATACCGTAGAACTAAACTGAAGCTTGTCTCTCAGATGTCAAGAAAAAAGTAGAAGATCAAGGCAGGTAAACAGAACCTTGAAGACTGGGCCCCTAATATGGAGGGGACTCTAATTATTATTCGTAAGAAGCTAACTTTCCGATTCCCACATACTTAGCACTACCTCTTTATTACAACTGACTTCCTTAAATATATAGTACACCATGGTCGTTTCTGAGGCTTGAAATCGGCATGTTCTTTCATAATATAAAGTTGATCAATAATTCGTACTGGTTTAAAATCAATCCATGAAAAATTAAGCTCCTTTGTTGTTCTGATATTTCAGGCTCAATTCTCAGAAATTTCAATGACAGCCTATAGCGAACAAGGTTGTGTCGTTAGCATCTATTCCGATCAAATACGTTCAAAACCTCTAAAGTAAGTCTATAAAATAGCGGTTTCACAGTTTCAAGATGAATTAAACATGTTTACTCACGATTGTTTGTCTCGTCCATGAAATAAATAATTCGATTATGGTTAGTATGGTAAATTGATCTTCCTTCAGAAATTAAATTTCATTAATTGGTAACAATTTTAAATTTGTGCCATGAAGCTTTTATTTACCGAGTTTTCAGACTTTCTGGAGGAATATGGCTCAGTTTCCTCTTCGTTTATTGATAAAAGCCATTCTTCATAACAGCAGTATCCACCATCTGACTTATATTGGATGGATAAAGAGGTTGTTTTGAGGCCGACGATACTATTCATTTCCTGTGAAAGATTTTGGCTATACACTAAGCAGCTTTATCCAAATCCTTTTAAATCATACATATCTAAATTGACTGTTTAATTTACCTAATTCCTAGACCACCCTTAGAGATTGTTGAGACAGTATACAAAAACCATTATGGTTAACAGATATTATAACGCGTTTACGTTTACTAACACATCACCCTATGCGATATCTATGTTAGATTTCATTATGAGAAGGGAAATAAATAAAATAAACTATTACCTAAGCAACATTTACCGACAGAAGCCATTATATATAACTCAAAATCTATCCCACAGATTCAACTAAACTTACTAATTAAATATGTGTAAAAGTTAATACTTTATTCTCGTTTCAGCTTAATCGCTTTATTATCAACCTGTACTCTTTTCACATTCAACTGTATAGTGTAACAACCTGAAGTACAATAAAACTTTCCCAGGTCTTCTAATAACAATCCCCTTGAAATAAAACTTCTTGTGTAAAATTCGACATTTTATTTCGTTTTAAATTAGATCATTTAAACCTGATTTTGTCCTGATACGACAACATCCAAGTGATTTGAAGGAGAATTGGCAACCTATACTCACTGGACTAATGTATGGAGGTACACCATGTATGAATACTTTGCACGCAATATATAATATGAAAAATCGCCCATGGCTTGTGAGTTTATTAGAATTTTTGGTTAGTTAATAGGACTACTGTTATTAACATACTTACTTACCGAGTTTTCAGACATTCTGGAGGAATATGGCTCAGTTTCCTAAAACTATGAACACCAAAAGAACAATCTTAAGGCCTTCTCATTGTTCTATCGAAATCTTAAGGCCACAACATTAATATTTTGTATAGCAATTACAATCATGAAGACAAACATGTTGTACTTACGTTTTTAATGTCTATTAGATTTATTAAACACTGCTTTACAGTTTATTTATCTACAGACCATTTTAATTGAATTATGATCTTTCTCATTTTTCGACACATACATATGGCAAATTTTTCTGTAGACTTCAGTCCCAGACATTAAGTGATGAAATGTATAGTGTTTACAAAATTCATCTCCTTCCTATGTTATATTGTTTAGATTGAGAGTTTAATTAAAATATGCTTAGAGTTCTATAATAAACTGATTTAAACGGCTTTCAGGTTTATTTATTTTCGTCTTTGTTTTTTTGAATTGATTTACTATTAAACCCATATACATGTTCAAAATGTATCACTTAGTCTGGAAAAGCCAACTACAAATCCTCGGAATTTAAATTTTTTGTATAAGTTTTTATACACTATGAAAACTTATAGGACATCTACTGTCGTACATATGCAGAATAACAGCTGATATTATACATCACTAAATGGTTTTACCAACAGATTTTATGTGTATATACAACAAAAGCATGCTTTTCATACTGAAGCTCAAATTAGATTGTTCATTCGACAAGTAGCTGATTAATTACAATCAAACAGCTCATATAAATATACCTTTGAACAAAGTTTGAAGAGCGCATTTATCCTAGGGGTCAATTTATATAATTTGACCAGTAAACTATGGTAATAAGTCAAGAATAAAGCTTTTTGAGTGAGATTATCTATTGTTTTGTATTGTTCACAGATACATCGTTACAAAAATATGTAATTTCGTAGGATTAGAATGAATGAAGCTTATATAATCAGTGACAAAATAATAATGGTCAGCACATGTGTGTAAAGATCGAAACTGTAAAATCTTAGAAGCCTATACTAACTGTTAACCATAATTCAGAAGTTAATCTATCCAAACAATGACAATGATTTCTTCAAGATTTTCAGTGGTAAGGTTCATGAATATGTATTTAAACTAAGATAGTAACTACAGATCATTAGTTGTGTAGATAGCAGGTTATAACTACTAGTTTCGTTACACACCAACTTTTGTTTAACCGTTTCTACAAATGAAAAAGATATACTTCCAACTAACTTTATGAATAGTTTTCATATTGCCCGGATCTACATTTCATAAGTAAACCTTCATATTCTTATAAATTAAAATTAACGTTATCACTACTCAATATACCACGTTAAATTAACTGAATACACTTCCTCATTAAGCTAATTCACTTTTGTCCTAAATATTCTTTCTTTACTGCTGTTCTTGAAATTAACCGAGTTCTTCAAGTTAAATATATATTTACCTTCCTTCCAGTTCGCTCATTTATTAATGATCCGAAATCGATTGGGCAAAGAAAATTTTCCACTTATTTCACAAACCTATCATACAAGTCATAAAGAAATGGTATGTATCATAAACTGTATACTTTTTTTATGATGAAACAGTGATTTTAGCGGTTAGTTTTGTCCTTATTAACGTATGAAGCGATAATTGAAAAGCCCATCATAAAATTTGATCGTGTTCAGGTATATATACAAAATTTATTTAACTAGCTTCATTGGAAATAAAATCAGATCGACTTTTAATACAGTGAAAATTATTATCCTATAAAAAACGGTTTAGTTTCGGAATCGAATCATTTTAGATTCTGGTAATGACGACATAACATTATAGAAGTTTTTCAGCGCTACTATTTACCGTCATAAACTCAAATCAACTGTATACTAACAGAGGACTGGACAGCACTGACTTCATCTTTGTACTAGTTTAGAACTTCTTACAAGTTCATATAATTGACAGGTTTCAGGATCATCAAGTACTCTGAGCTATAGAACTAAAACACATCATTGGAAATTTATCCACTTCAATCGACTGGTAATACACCATAACTATCAGCCGATACTGCCTGAGACAATCCTTTCTCAAATTCAACATAACTGACTTCGCAGATTACAGTCTAGTCTCAGAGTTTAACTGGATCATCTAACTTAGGTAATTTCTCGTTTGGCTGAGTATTACTTGATCTACTGATTAACGATAGGAATTGTTTTACTTAAATAACGCTTGGTGGTAGTCTGTTTCATAAATAATAACTGATAACGATTAGAGTACTGATGATTTTCACCCAGATATATCTTCTTACCTATCTTTTTCAAGTATTACTTATTTTATGCTTTCTAGTTGATAAATGCTTACAGAAATATAAGTTTCATTGATATTGAATTATATCTAATGAACAAACATTTAACAATTTCTAAATTATCTCAGTTCTTTTCAACTTCTTCATTGTAAAAACAAATTCTTCAATGTAGCTATAATGTGATCTGTTGGTTAAGTTTTTTACTTGATTATATAAAAGTAAATTAGAACAGTTAAACTAGGTTAAAATAGATTGTTTTGAAGTTTATGATCTAATATTGATTTCTTTCTGTAATTTCAAGTGATTAACATTTTAAGTAGTTTAAGAGCTTTATAATTACAGACAGACATCTTTCAAGTCTATTACTATCATGAACTATTGTTCTTATTTAGCTCATCCGTGAACATTACACAAATCATTTTATCATCGTGATGAAAAGTTTCTCAAAGATCATCAGTGGCTAAAAAAATGTAAACAAGATTAGTTACATTGTTCATCCTAAACCATCATAAAAACTGAAAACTATCTATAAAAACAATCATCTTCAATTTCTCATTTAGAAATTATCACTTTTCATCATTTTCATAAACATCAAAAGAAGGAGCTTTTTATGTCTTTCTTCATCTTTATATTGTTGGTAATCCCTTATCAGAAGTATCGAACACGTCACCTGAATAATTAGTTAAGTAACTCAATTTTGTTTATTGTTATAAACTTTTGATTCTCTTCATTCATATTCATTTTAGGTTGTAGCACCAGCGTTTCCAGTTATTGTGAAAGTCGGAGTAGGTCATCGTGGCGAAGGCAAGGTATGTAAATCAAATGTTTTAGTAAATTCAAGCCACTTGACTTTGTCATCAAACTTTTCATTCCATTGTTGTTAACACATCCATTTGTCTTTTTTAATAAGATAACTTCATTTCAATAAAATATCCAAATTCAAAGTAAAACTTACGACATGCCGATGTCATATACAGTAGCATATTTTCTCCAAGAGATTGTCGGCAGCAAGTCACAAAGTAAAACGATTGCATAGCCGGATACTTTTCCGATGAGTGAATTTATTTCGTGAAGAAAAAAAAGCAGCACAAATATAATTATGACTGTCAACAGATAACAATTCACAAAAATTAACATATTGAACGCACGATACTAGTTATTTTATTACATACATTAAAATACAACGGTTTCATCATGGAGCTTTTTTACTGTGTTATCAACACATTTAAAGTTCAGCCAGTCAGTTACTTGAGACAAAATACGTGCTTAGTTATACAAAGCTGAACAGTACAATGAGCGTATCTAATTATTAGTTATAATCCAGTTAGTTAAATCCTAATTTAAAAGTAAATCATGTGCTAGAAAGCACGGTTCATAAAATCGTCCTTAAAAATACTCATATGATTGCTTTCATAATAGTAATAATAACTATAGTGTCTAAATTTATTATTTACATGTAAGATATTTTATACTATTCGCCATAACCTCAAAGATACCTGATATTTTTCTTCTGCAAAATATTTGCATTCAAAAGGTGAAAGCTGACACACCGTTTATTTATCAAGATTTGGTTGGTCTTATGATTTCTGGTCAAACATATGCCACAACAGAACCATTCATTGATGCCAATTGTGATCTCCATGTACAAAAAATCGGTACGAATTATAAAGCATTCATGTAAGTTTCATTCTTATTAATATGTCTTATAAACCAAACGTATTTAATTCCTGTATCACTACACTGCACATATAGTTCTACATACCTATTTGTCAGCAAGGGGAAAATGTCACTGACTAAACAAAATAACACTTTGAGGTTTTAGACCGACTATTGATGAATGTACTCGTTCAATAAACAGATAGTATAAGGATTTGGTACTATTTTTTGTTGTGGTTACAGGGCTTCCGATTTTATAACCACATGTAATAATTATAGCTGATAATAAATATCATGACAGTAATTACGGAAAATATATAGTTTAACTACACATAAAGACTACTCAATATTCATTTATTTCTGAAAGTAGTGGAACTAGGTAGACTTTTGGCTAGGTTATTTCTAACATATCGACCAGGTTTGTCTTAGGCTCCTGGATAAAAATAAAATTTAATTGATGAAATATAAAAAAAATAAAGAAAGAAGGAAAAAGTAATATCATACACTTCGTACTGAAAATAAAAACCGAGATACTATCATGGGATTTATCAACCCATAGTTATCAGTGATAACAGTTGTTAAATATAATTATCTCAGAGTGATATATAGACCTAGAAAAACTGAATTATTCTTGAGGAAAAAATCATATGAAGAAGCGCTTAAGCCACAATATAATGTTTTATTCATTAAGCGAAAAACGATTTTCATTAAAAATCTTGCAACTTATTTTACCTCATGTATTAAAAGCCATGAAGTCAAAAAGCTGATTCACATTCTCCTTATTACTGTCGCATGATTAGTGAGGGTAGTAATTTTAGTAGGCTTTAAGCCTCAAGCTTAAATAAACAACTCTATCTGAAAAATAACTCCCCAGCACTGCACACCGTCAAATTCACATAGGAGTGGACTCATGACCTCCAGATCCAGCGAGAACAATACTACTCAATCACCTGGTTCAAAAATATGACTGTGACGTGGCGTGGTAAAAGAATCCTAAAAATGAATTCAAAAAGAGATTTCTCAACATGAAAAAAACAATTTCATTTTGTTCATATAAAAGTGGTTTACTGATTCTTGCATTTATTTGTCAAACTATATAAATTTTTTTCATAAAGGCGTAAGGCTATATCCGGTAATTGGAAATCGAATACTGGATCAGCATTACTGGAAAAAGTCCCAATGAATGACAAGTAAGTTCACTCTAATATCCTCATTGTTAACATTTGTAATTTTAATTACCGTGATTTTATTCACCAATCTTTCTACAACTGTATATACAATGAAATTTATCTATCTCTTTAATCAGGTTGTATAAAAAGTTTTCAGGGTATTCGAAGTCAAACAGTTCTATACTAAGTGTTTTAAGTCATTCAACATCCAAAATGAATTATGGTTTGATCCATTATCTTTGATCCAATAAAATATAGTTACTTATCGGAAATCCGTAGGTCGATAGAATCTTAAATAAATGTCAGGTGGTGAATAAATGAAGGAATTAGATTGAATGAAAGACGATCAAAGAGTAATGCCTATTTATCAATTAGAATCTCGTTTTTTTTAAATGATCGTAACCTCTTTGTAATAAATGATTCAGATTTATATCATTGTTATGAATCGAATATTTGGTCTTTCAAATGAAACAATTATATTTTTCAGAGTATACTTAGTTTGGTTGTCGTTTATATGAACAGGTTTTTACATACTTTTCAATAAATTCACTATTTGATTTGATAATATAAATAAATTGTAGGTACCAGAGGAGAAATTTTATACACCTGTTACACAATAAACACTGTCATCATTATTTACATGTCTTGGTGTAAATATTGGTAGTGATCAAATTCTTATCATTAGTTTTGATGAATTAGAGCTGAATAAATCGTAGGTATATATTATACTCTTGCTTCATATATTTTATACACTGACTTTAAAAAAAATGATGAAATTCGACAGCTAACTTTCTACTCATCCGATTAGTTACCAATGGCCTTTGGAAACTAGCTCTTCGTTTCACTGATACTGATAGGCTTTACACTTTCAAAACTATCCGCTTTAATTTATTTTCAGATTTAAAATATGGATTGATGAAGTGTCCCGTTTATTTGGAGGTTTGGATATCTGTTCTATTGATGCGTTACAATCAAGAAGCGGTGAATATTTTATTTATGAGGTGATCACTTTGGAAATATGGAATATAAACTATACTATCGCATAAGCCTTTAAAGTTTTAATATGGTTTGTGTTCCATGTATTGACTAAAATGTAGAAAATTACAACCAAAATTAAACACCAAAATATCTTAATCTATTTCAGTAGTACATGATTTATCAGGTTGTTCATTTACTCTTTTTCAGTATTCTTGTAATTTCATATTTTTAAATAACTAGCCTCTAACTGCAATTTTATTAACTTAAAACTGAAAACCAACCGTTTCATCCAAGCATTTTGTGAACAATAAATGTGCATTTATTTGCAAATTAACCAATACAGGTCTAAATGGGGTCATTTTGATTACTTATAGACCGATCCAACTAATCAGTCTACATTTTCTTATTTTGATTTATTTACCTGTTTCCCGGAATGATACTTTAGGAACGTAAACAGTATGCAGATCCATATCAAACTCATTAGTTGCTTGGTGGAACTTAAATAGTGTTATAAATCAATAATCCAGTTGAAAGATTTACCATACCAATGAAAACAGATTGGTCGCCACTTTTTTTAATAAAACTCACTAATTAGTGAAATTTCGTGAGTGATAACCTCTGACTTTGAGGTATTCATAGTCCTTATTTTACTGTTCATCAGCTTCAGTTAAATTTCTTATAGGGTTGTGTACTTTTAGAATAACAAGACAAAATAGTAATGATAATTTAATATTTTAGTGCCGTAAAATTTATAAAACTCATAGAGCACAAAAATTAGTTTATAATTGTATTGAATTTTTCCCTCCAAGGATCTGCATTTTGTACTGCGTTAACTATAGATGTCAGAAACCAATGCTTTCAACTGATCTATTCCATAACATAAAGTGTAGAGAGATATTAACATCCAAATCCCATAAAAGCAGTTATTATTGATCTGTAGTTAGGTTGATGGGATAACACAATTAAAATCCATGAACAGGATTCTGCTCACTTAAGATTTTAAGTGCCTATTAGTTTCTTTTCTGTTAACTAACAATAGTAGGACTTACAGCTCTGTGGACGTGATCCTATCTATATCAAAGAGACTGATTAGAAGTAATATTCAGTGAATACTGTTTGACATGAGCCCTCGATCTATATCCACAATTTTCGATCACTTGGGCTAGAAACCATATTAGAGACTTCGTAAATTGAAATTCAGTAGGACTGACAAGTAGATAATATATCATTGGTTATTGGTCATTGATCAGTTATTAGAATCTAGATTTTATTTACAATATACAGTTTAATTTTACTCATCTCGACCCATCTTATATAGTATTAAAAAAGCCAAACATACCTACAGACCAAACAACACAATATGTTAATCAATAGTATAGTTTTTATCTAAGCGTGTAAATACTTTATGGCGTCATTTTCGTATATTTATTCTTTTTCGACCTAACTTTTAGGCTAATGGTTCAGACATGACCCTCTATGGAGATAGTCAAGAAACTGATAGGACAGAAATTGCTGAACTAGTGATGCAACGTATGCAGTCTATAACATATTCTTCATCTATGTAAGTGCCAACTTATAAATATCAAAATAAAGTTGGCTAGGAAAATACAACCTTTATATTTTATTATTAAATGAAGTCAATAGTTATCTTTAAGTACTTTTACAAGAATACTTTCTTAAGAACTAGATTCTCAAACTTGAGCTTCTCTGTCTCATAGCTACGAGAGCAGCGAATTCCAATGTAGCCATTCAACAGCTATTCAAACTAGAATTCTGTCTAGGATGTGCAATATTTTCATTTAGATCACAAATTTGGGTTAAAATATATTACCGATAACTCCTGAAGTTTTGTTATTTTCATAAATGAGCAATAAACTTTAAAGCACTTTCGAAAATAGAAGATAGATTTTGTAACTAATCAAAATCGATCATTAATATTCTGTCAATGCTGTCATTAATATCCTCATGGATGGGCTGAACTTTTACAGGTTTTACCCGTTTTTAATGTTTTTATCCTGAAACTTTAAATCACTCAGTGGACTCACTTTTCGATGCTGAAAGCTGGCAGAAAAGAATCGATTTCTAAATTCAATATGATAGTATTTAAACTGGCGCTATTGTTCATGATTAACTTGTTTTAATGGTTTTTTTAACAAAATTCTGAAAAACTGGTATTATTATCTGTATGAACATATTAATACTGAAATAATATGGATTAAGTCGAAACTGTTTTGATGAAAACATACAAAGAATTGATTACTCATGTAGAACTCACTTGAGTATATCTTTAAATCCCTATACACTTGCCCTTTGTTCGGAAGTGAAAGTACAGTAATCGAAGTAAACCGAATATTAATGATCCTGTGAATTACAATTATCTCACTTCCGTTTACTTTTAATCCTATATGACTCTAAATCAACTAAAATATTTTCGCCGGTAATTTCGTACTGGTATTTTTTTATAGAATGAGCATGCTGAATGCATGCAATCCAGTCTTATCTTGCCTGCTATATAGCTAGGCGCAGTTGGTATGTACTTTATTCTGTCAAGTTTATTTTAAAGACAAATGCTTTTTTCTTTTCATAGTTTAATTACTATAAGAAAAATGTATGTATATGCTTTACAAATATTTCTTATTCCATATATAGTCCTAAGGTTCCAAGTCTACAAACAATCGGTAGAACAAGCGAAACAGAAAGACCAGTAGGTATTGGTATAGGAAGTGCAACACCTGCTGCTCAGCCTAGTATTGGACCTAGTGCAGTACACCCTACGTATAATCCACCATTTCAGCAACTTCCATCACAACCTTACTCACAAGTACATCAATCGCAACCAGTAAATGTTCAACAAAGTCTCCAACCCCAAGTAACACAAAAATATCCACCGTCAACAGGGATCACGTCAAATACTAATTCACTTATAGGTGAACCAATAGGATCAGTAAGTCCTGCACTGAGTAAGCATTCTGATCCCGGTTTCGTCACAAGTTTTGGTTCACCTACTAGTTCACTATCTTCGAGGGCTGATACACCACACCAAACTTCTTTTAGTACACCAGCGACAACTGCAGCGAGTCGAGGGCACAGTACGGCTTCAGAAAATTCTGACATTGGGTACCGTTCAAATATCGGGGGACTGTCCAGTATGCAAAATACAACGCACACTAATTATTCTTCACATACATGGGACCAAAGTTCTTCATCTGGCTTATTTAGTCCTTCCAAAATACCACCAATGGATTCAACTACCAAACCAAATCTAATGAATCAACAACCGTCGGCAGGATTTGATGCTTCTGATCATACTACTGGAACCAAGATGATGAGTTCTCCTCAACAATCTTTCGGATCTTCTTTCAGGTTGGTCTTCTAGCTTTTGACAATAATTAAAATGCAGATGATTGAAGTGAAAACAAATCTATTCATCCCGATTTTTATACCCTCACATAAAGTTTTATCTTTTTTAAAAGACATTGAACTCTCAACCCCTAGAACAAGATATTATTTTAAAATTTTATTTGAACATACAACTTATCTTAAGTTTCAAGTTCAAACAATATTTATCACATTTTTTCCATAAAGTATATGTTTACGCAAAATATTAACCTTATTGAGATCCAGAAAAAGCCAATCATCTTAAACTGTAATATTACTATGACCCAGGAGCCATGCATGAGTCTTACTAAGACCTTATATAGAAACACCTGCATAAAGTTAGCTTGTTATAAAAGTGGGATGACACAAAGTCTTCTCTTTTTTAATGTCATCATGAAACAAAAGCCATTAATTAGATCACAGATTACGAATTTAATTGTACCTTCACATCAAGAAACAAAAAATTTTGTGATTTTCCTTTAAAAACATCAATAATACAGTAAGTAATAGTGTGGCACTTTGTCAACTAAGGTTCATTCGTTTTATGGTTTTTACACGAAATAATAAGACTCTGATGAAACACGAGTTTTTTCCCAAAATTTCCATAGATTATCCTAATTAACATGCAACCTCTCATTGAACCTAGGTCACCAACCAGGCATCTCCAAGCAACTAAGCCCTAAGCTCTCCTATACAGTTATTGTTAAGTGTTACTTATTCTCCAGGTATTTGTCTTCGATTCCTGGCACAATGTATTCTGTGGCCAGCCTCATTTCTTTTCGCCTTGATGGTCCAAACTTACGGTCTGTCTTGTGATCCAGCTTGATGGTTTCCATGAAAAGTGTTCTGTACATTTATAACTTATTTTCCCGATTTCCTCCTCAACTAGCATCTGATTTTTTCTCTCTCAGAGTAGATTATTGCTGATGGTCTCTGACTAATGAATCTAGCGTCTGTTCAGTATACAGTTGTGCTATAATTTCTCTTATTACGACCCAACTATTCATATTGCTTAGTATTCTTGAATACAAATTCACTCGACAAGTCACCAAATCAGAACACGATTGAACAAGAACGAAATTATATTCCAAATAACAAGGGTATATGTAAGTAGGAATCACAATAACAGAAACGTTAGTATATTTATAGTTTTCACATGAAAAGATTCTAGAGTCTTCTCCAAGTATCGACTAGCGTTGATTGGATAAGAAATAGCTAATCAGCGTGCCCCAATACAATCTTTCACGGAACGTGCTTTAATCCAATCTATATCCCTCTAACAAGTTTTTAATAAATACCCGTACCCTTCTGATAATAGTGGTGATAGCTAATCAAGTTTCAGTTTCATACGATAGAACTGGTTTAATGCTAGTGTTGAAAATTCTGTCATTGGTTCTGCACGACAGTTATTTTGAGTTAGGGATGTTCTTCATTAGTAGGAATACTGTCCTTGCTTTGCCGATTTATGCTTTGATATCCGCATCCGATCCTCTCTGCTTCTTAATGATCCTCCCCAATTATATAAAAGAATTCACCTTTTCCGGAGCATCCCATCAAGTGAGTTCATATACACATATCAGTGATATTCATTAAATTATTGTTTCTTTCCCAATCTAACATTCTTCATTAACGTCAACGAACGTGACGGAAACGCAAATCAATTACTCTTTATTCTCGACAAAACCATTACATATGACTGGTTCGTTCGTACCAAGAATAAAACTCCATATAGTTTAAAATTTGATGTTAGATGTCATCTAAGTATAGTGAAATGAGATCAAGAGGAAAATCAATTTTAAACTCAGATATAAAGCCTTCAATATTCCGAAATATACTTAAAGTTCTCAGTTAAATTTATATTGAAATTCTGTTAATAGTATATGGTCAGAAGTCCCAAAAAGCAGTCGTGTGACTGATAACAGTGATGTTGCCTCGAATACAGTTATACTAGAATAAAACATCAAGACTTTAATACGTGCTTTATGTCGAAGAAGCTTATACCAGATGGTGCAGTTATAATCAACTACCTTTCAGCTTTTGAAACGAAAAGTCACCAGAAATGGATATACATCAAACGCTAGATTATAACCACTCAAAGTCATTTTAACTAAGTGCTTACCTGTAGAATATAGTTGGATACAAACAACTACCGTAATTCATTTATACTGGTTGTTTGGATCTTCCTGTTGATTTTTAGGACTGCAATTGATCATTTTCTTTTGGCATGGTATGATACACTCATCCTGGATTCCACTGCTGGCCACTATCCATCTCTGCTGAAAAACCACCGTAATTGTATCCAAAATATAAAAACTTATGTACAGTTTATGGCATCCACTCTGCTAAATAAATCATGTTCTTTGCTAATTGACAATATTTTCTATGAAAATAAGTGTTTATTCCTTTTATGCTGATTTTTTATTTAGCTCTAATGTACCATATAGTACTGAAAAACTTGGTAATGATGTAAGTAGAAAACCAACAGGTCAAACAACTAGTGGACTTGATCGTCCAAATGTCCCACCAAGACAAACTTCATTACGTACCGGACCAAGCACTGAAGATACAGATGATACTATGAAAAACCTACGCAAAACATTTGCTGGAATTTTTGGTGATTTATAAAAGAATTTTCCAGTAGAATTGTCTTATTTATAACTAACGTATTATTACTAATTATAAATGTTTTATCTTTTAATCAATTTTTTTCCGAACTACAAAGAATAATGTTATTGCTGCTTGACCAGTTTTTCATTTTTTTATTTTCTCTTCTTTACTGCAAATATTTGTTTGGTGAAATTTCCAGTATAAAATAACTAAATATTTATGTTATTGCATACTTCGTTAACATAGTAAATCTATCTTAGTTTCATCTAATTAATAAAATCAAACAAAAAATCAATATACTTCTAATCATCCTTACCTATCCAATTACTACTAATATTTTGTTGTTCAAGCATTTTTGTTCATACACAAATTCTCTAAATCCATACAATAACAAATTGAAACTCAAGTTAATTAATCTCAAAAAACAGAATTATTTATCACTACTATTTGTCTAATTATTTACTACTTATAATTTACTTATAAAATAAATTGAAATGTGAAAATATTAATCTATCCAATTGATATTTCAAAGTGCTCATATCAGTTGTTTATTGACCTTTCAAGTATTTACTTATTTCTGTGATGTTTTCTTATTCTACCTTTCTCTCTCTCCATCTCCCTCTATTCCTCCATTGCTATACTTATTATTTGAAGATATTAAGAAATTTTTATCGTCTCGAGAAGTAATTCGACTAGTGAATCTTATTTAAAAATGGAAGCCGATCCAAGCATAATGAATGACCAGAACAATAAAGGTAGGAGATTAATAGGCTTTTGTTTTATTTTCTAAAAGTCTATTGCTTGTTGTTTATCTAGTTAATTTATTACTATCCTACAAAATTATTAACAAATCATGTACAAAGTGATACCGTTTCAGTGGATGACCAAATGACTGTCAGTCAGTCAGCTACAACTTAGGACCAGGCACATATATGCATCGGTCCAAGTTTCCATACCTCATTAACACAACAAGATGAACACCGGGTTCATAAAAGTAGTTAATTCAGAGGTGGTAATATATGAAATAAAGATTGCAATAAGGATATAGTACACGAAGAAAGAATTAGTTCGTAGAAAGAAAGATATGAAGCAATTTTAATCTCTTAGTTTAAGGGAAGATAGATAGTGTATATACACCTACGCCATTGTGATCGATTCTGAGCCATGTCACTCACAGTCTCCAACCATTGGTTACGATGGTCACGCGGATCCCAACCAAGTAGTCTGCATCTACCAACATGGCTCGGACTAGAAGTTAGTGACTTCAAGCACTGATGTCACGTTTTGGTTTGGCCGCCCCTAACTTTCTTCCAACTATCCCGAACACCGGTTAGAATTGCACGTCGTGGTAATCGGTGTTCGGGCATACGCAACACGTGGCCCAACCATCTCAGTCCATGAAGATTCATAACCTCATTAACTGATTCTCCATCATTCCCTAATACCCTGCGTCTAACCTCACTATTACTTACCCGATGATCCCAGCAGACGCCAGTAACATTTCTAAGGCATCTGTGGTCAAATACTAGTAGCTTACGAGTATCTTCTACTCTTAATGGCCACGTTTCTCAGCCGAAAAGTAGAACAGAACGAACTGCCACGCAGTATACTCGTACTTTAATTGATAGATGGATATCTCGCCTTCTCCGTAGGTGACGTAAGTTGGCAAAAGCCAAACGAGCTCCTCGAATCCGTGCTGAGATTTCATCAGACACCTACCCATTATGGCTGATCAGACTTCCAAGATAGGTGAAGTTGCTAACGCGTTTGACTACTTCACTCCCTCTCCTTAGTTCGGGTGTTGACGCAGGCTAGTCCTGAAGCAACAACTTGCAGTTAGATGTGGAGAAACGCATCCCAAACATTCTGTCATTGTTGCCCAGTGCTACCAAAAGACTGTATTTTATCAGCGTCTTCATTAAACAAGACTATATCATCTGCGTATTCTAAGTCGATAAGTGGACCTCCCGACCGTTGTTGCTACCTTGACGTGGTGGTCGGGCTTCCCTATCGTGATGAAGCAACCGAGCCATACTGGTTGAAACAACCGTTCCTCAAGGTCTTACCATGTCAGACAGGTCGGTTGAAGAGCGGTAAGACTAAAAGCAACAAACCCAAGGTCCGAAGGCGAATTCGTACTGCTGACTGTACAGAGGTGTGACAGCAGTAAGGTGTTTCCTTCAGACAACCAGCATGACAGCGATGCTGCCTTCCCACAAGGAGAGGTGGGGTTAGAAAAGGTCGACTCTAAAAAATTCACACCTCGCCTTATCTCACGGATATCCGTCTCTGGCGGTAAGGTCTCAACAAGTACGGAGCTAACACAAAAATTGCCCACAAAAAGGTCGTGTGTGACCGACCTCAAGCAGTTGTCCCTTGGGCACTGCCGTCACGCTCCCAGGTCACTAAGACCACCTCTAATCCAATTTCCTTTTCAGGTACCTCCAGAACAACCCTTCCACGGTGTGGGCATCCGGGAAGTGATAACCGCCCTCATACCTCTAACAGCACTCAAGACCACTGTATTCACAGTCAACCTCCGTCTTCACTTTCTATTATTCCTCCTACACCGACTTTCACCTCTAAACTCCCTTTTTCGGCTTCCTCCTCAAATGTCACCACAGCCAACGATTCTAGTGCTCAAAACACTGTCCCAGGGATACTGAAACCTCGCTCCAAACTACACATTGGATCCTTCAACGTATGCACCCTATGTCAAATCGGTCAACAGACTTCCTTGGCTAGAACCCTAGAATCTCGTACCATTGATGTATGCTGTGTCTCTGAAAGACGCATACAGGATCCCAGTGTGGTCATTCACTTGACCTCACCACGACAAAACGGAGACCCGACGGCCAGCTCCCGTGGACTGGCAGTAGGGATAGCACTAAGCATGAGGGCGGAACAAGCACTGTTAGAGTGGATCCCCGTTAACAGTCGTTTATGTGCTGTTTGGCTAAACCAAATGATTGATTGTCGGTCTGATTTGTTCTTCCGATAATGTGAACTGGTGTTACTAAAATCCCACACAAGCGAAAGACCTATTGCTTGGTGTTGAGTACACCATAAGCTTCCAATCATAAATCGATCTCCTTGATTACTAAGGCTAGGCAACTAGAAATTTACTTAAAAATTGAATTTAAGATTCTACTCAAACTTATGAGCATTATTCATTTCAGGTACAGTACCCAAACAATAAAGGAATCTAGTAAATCCGAGTTAGTATAAAGAAACCCCTGAAATTTTTGCTTTTAAATCTGTCATTTCTAATAAAGATCAATTTTGTAAGTGCATAGTGAAATAAGTCAATATTTAAAAAGTAGTAAATTACTAAATCACTTCAGAAAAGCCTCAAATGAGAATAAAATATTTGTCTAGTACTTCCTAGTTTTCAGTGATTATCCAATTGACACCAGCCTTTAATGTAGGCTAACTTCCTTTTCAGTCTGATTATTTAAGTCAGTAATCGATCTTCGTAAATTTCTTTACAACGTTGACTCCATCGGTTTCGAAGGTAATGATCAATTGATCGCATTAAACCGACATTTAGGACGATTTTCAAATTAAAACTGAATAATCGACGTCAGACTTGGAAGTATCTGGAAATAAGAACACATAATATTGAGGACAAACGTGTTTTCCTATCCATCGGTCAATGTAATACAGGCTCAAAATATTATCTCGATTACACAGATCATTACTACTCCGCTAATTAAGTCTTCTTTGACTCCAAATTAATGGTAAATATTAATCCATATCATTAACTCAGTTGTAATTTCAGATCTTATCAGCAGTTTTTAAATATGTTAACTGAAACTTATAATATCACTTCATACACCAAACCATAACCACTATGTTATTAGGTTAGGATAGATACTGTTTATTTAACAGATATTTTCTATTGTTAGAACTTTTAGTATTCCGTCATTGATCTTATCAGGACCTAATTGATCTTTGTATTCCGTTTCTTGGTAGGGAAGATTTAACAATCACAAACGTCCCATCTTGATAGTAGCATGGGGTTCGAATAGATTGATCTCTTAATGTATTTGAAACGAGTCCAATGAATCCGTCTCATTCCATCACATATTGACGTTCTGATTAAGAATGTTTGTAAAGAATTCAAAGTGGTTTATTGATAGTGACTCCTCAGTCAGTGGGAACGATAATTCTAAATAATGGAATTGTAGAAAATATATTACGTGACGACGATAAACCATATACGAAAATAAGCTTCACGAGTCTGTAAATCACACTGGAGTGCAGAAGTGGACGATGGTTGAATCCCCCAGGAATACTAGTTGCTGCTTAGTGAAGAATTAAATGAATCTGATTAGATATGGAAATTTACTTTATTGCTCGATTGAGAAATACAATGTTTTGAACGGTATACTGATTAAGCTTTCAAAAAAAATAGTTCTTAGAAAAGGACATTGAACTCAACATTTCAGAGATAGTACATATTTACACACATAGATGATAGATACACCAATAGGAACATATCACTTGAAGAAAATGGCCAATTAAGAGTTGTGATGATTGACGAGCTTGAGAAAGAAACTGAGACGAATATGACAAGGTCATTAAGGAGGAAGAACGAATTTGTATGACAAAGAAAATAAAACAATTTTTTTAAAGAAAATAAGTGAATATAAAACCACACTCAGATTAACTGACAAAAATATTGTGTTAGCAGCAACAGTAGCACATAGTTTAAAAAACTGACTCGATAAATGTAAATATTAACATATTCCGAAGTATATTATTACAGATTATGCAGAAAAACATATATTGAGAAAAATAGAATGAAAGAGTGCAGGTGACTAAAAGATTACTGATGAAATACAATTGTATGCCATAAATCAATGTTACTATATTTCTTCTATTCAGTGGAAAGTAAAGTGATAATTTTGTTCAAGTTTCCTGACGCGTTTTTCTTCCTTCTTTCTAGGTCCACCAGGCTATAAAACATAAATATTAGAGAATGTATATACGAACTCAATAAAACCACCCAATAATAAAAAACTAATATAAAAATCAGACAACTTTTGCGATCAAGCTGCATTATGTGACTAGCAATAACGCAAGTGGAATGTTAAACACATAGACTTGACCCCGCTGACATTATCAAATGCTAACATTAACTGTTTAGTGTTCAGTCTCTACATACATCGATATATAGGGTTCATCTACTTTAACTATTTATTATTGTCTACTTTAAAATTACTAAGCATTTGAATGAATATGTATAACTCAATGTGTAAAATGGAATCTAAATAATTTTGTATCCAATTATATATTTATGAACTCACCATAATGTAATACGTAGATAAACCTCCTTGATTTTCTGGTTTTTCAACTATATCCACTTCATCCGATATTTCTGGATCTAAGTTAGTTACGACTTTTTGCATAATCTCTATGATCTCCCGTTGTTTAAGAGATGGCAAAAGATCGCGATCCCATTGATCTGCGGCACCTTGATTATATTTATCTTTCACAATACGATTACCACCTTGTATCACAACAACATTGACATTTGAATCAGTAAGTATATTGGAAAACGTTTGTTTCAGTCGGGTTTCTATATTCTGACTAAGCTCTATTTTCTTATGAAGAAAGAAAAGTATCTTGACATATAATTTCGAAGTCTCCAGGAAGAGATCGGTTAAATCTACAACTTTTTTAATTACATCAAACAACTTCGAATATTCTTCATAACTTAGAGGATTATCCAACACCTTCCCATTGTACTGTAAGATCTCAA